GGTGTATCATCACATTAATATTATCACCATCAACTATTGCTTTTAATGAATTTCTCTGTGATAGCAAATCTTAGTTAGGTAACTACCTGCCATGTGAATTTATTCATTCATCAAAGATTTATTGAACAGCTACTAAGTGTCACTCTTTTGTAGGTGCTTGAGATGCATCAATAAAGAAAACAGATCCTGGAGATTGTGGAGTTTGTATTCTAGTGGGGGATACAGATAAATAACAACAAGACTAATAATTTGATCAATTACATGCATGTAATTTCCTGGTACAAAGAAAATTGAGCACAGGAAGGGGAATTGTGAGTCCTTGTGGGCTGGTATCTCATTGGGAAGGTGATGCTGGAACAAAGATTTGAAGGGGGGAGGTCAGCCGTGAAGCTATGTGGGGGGAGTAGTGAGGAGCAGCAAGTGCAAAGCAATGAGCCTGAGTGTGCCTGCCTGTGTACAAGCAAGGAGAGGGGCGGGGCAGGGGCCAAGGAGAAGCTTTTTTTTTTTAAAGATTCATTTATTTGTGCATACAGAACTGGACTATGTACAGGCCAGAGGTGCAGGGGCGGCAAGATGATTCACCAGAGACAGAGTGGGGAGCAGAACAGGCAGATCGAGGAAGTACACTGCTGAGGGGAGCAGCGGGCGGGTCAGGAGAGGTCTGCCACACCGTGTGGATCACCTCCGAGGCAGGCGGGGATCGAACTCATGCGGAAGTGGCTTTGGTTTCTTAGTGCTGTGCTTTAACCCGCTGCGCCACCAGGGAGGGCCCCAGCCAAGGCTTTTAAATTGATGTGTGTGGCGGGGGGTGTTGCCTGGCTTTGAGCATAGAGGGGCTGTGTTCTCATCCACAGAACTAGACATGGGTGGGCAGCCCAGATACTCATTTTCAGCCAATGTTATGTTCTTCCTCTGGCCTCCACCTGACTGAAAATCCTCAGCGTCTTTCCCCAAGTCTTGCCTTAATCACAGTCTCTTATGAACCTAACATCCCTCGTGAACCTCCCTGTGGTTATACTTTTGATTAAGACAAACCCTAAGCAGAAGGAATAGATTTTAGATCAATAAACACATCATAATTCACAAAATGTCTAAATACTTCTCTCTTGTGGATGTTAGTCAGTGTGTAGCTTTCAGCAATGTCATTCCTTCAGGGTCGTTATCTGTGATTTTTTTTTTTTTTCTGAGCTGATAAAAATAAGATTCTATTGATGACTTTTCTCCTGTGTTCTATATATTTCTTGAAAATGCTTAGATTCTTATGCTTTGCTGATTTGATAATAGGGTTATCATGTAATAGTATAAATTTATATTTTTTTAATTTTACATTTATTTTATTTTGTATCATTTTACATTGACTTCATAAAAATTCAGTTATACTTTAAAACAATAAATTTCCATTAAAATAGATAGGATATCCTGCTAAAATCTACTTTGCAATGAAAAACTAAAACAAAATACATAATTATTATAATGATACTAACATTGATTTTTATTAGCTTTCTGAAATCTTTTTGTCAAGGTAGCACTGAAGTTTACTGGAAAGCACAATTAAGGTTTACAAATTTGTAACTGAGAGTCCCTAGATTTTATGATTAGTTTAATTTGTAGGGAAAGTGAGCTTAACAGTGTATCAGTTTTGTTGTTGGGTAAAGGACAAAGCATTTGTTGTCTTCTGAGACAGTTCCCCCTATAATTATCAATATAATGTAAGTTACCAGGAAAAAAAGATGTTGGAGATATTCAGTGTGGAAGAACAAATTTTGAACACTTGAAAATGAAAATGTTCCCTCAATGATCTTTTTAGAGATGACTTAGCAAAGGCTGCAACTTGAAATATCTGCAGGGGGATTATAAGAAATGTAAGTGAAAGAAGCATCCCAAAGGTAAAGACAGCTGTGTCCAACAATCAGCCCTATGTCTGGGAGGCAATAGGGAGTGGTGGGGATAGTGGTAAATCAGAAACAACTTACACTATCGAAATGGGTCTACCACTTCTCAGCCAGTTCCTGCCACTTGAAAACAAAAGCCTGTAGTTGCCAGGTCTGATTTTGTAAGAGGCACCAGATTTGTGTGTGTTGAATTTCTCAAAACTGAATATTGGTAGCAAGTTTAAAAGTGCAAAGCATGGTGTAGATCCAACAATATGCCTGCAGTTCACATTCAGTACATAGTCTGCTTCTGTTACATCTTGGTGTCCATTTCAGAGATGGGCCCAACATGTGCAGGAGCCCGTTATATGAGACTGTTTCAGAAGTCTCACTCCTCACTGGCCTACATCTGGAAATCACCTCATTACATATTGCTTTTGTTAGCTATCATTTTCTATGGTTGCTATTAGCAACAGTGGCTGTTTTTTTGGCGCCCTTCATAATTATTATATAGTGAATGTAAATGTATTAGTATTATATAATCAGAATGGATATATTCATGCTTTTCCAAATATGTTAATATTTTCACCTCATTTTTCAAAACAATTATAATTTATATAGGAACACATCTTCAAGCCTAGCTTGAAGTTCAGAACTCTGAGGCACAGAACAATTAAATATACTGTCCCAAGTCACACAAGTAAGGTAATGGAAAACTTTAGATTAACACGAGATTTATTCACTCTCAGTGATGTGCTTTTCCTATAGTCTAGGTTTATTATATTACATGTCAGATTATCCAATTCAATACTGAATCCTACTACAAGAAAAAGTCTGCAAAATATGAACCTGCTGAAAATCTAAGTTACATACATGATACCCTCCTGGGGAATTCTGTAATAGGATAAAAGAACTTCTGCTAAAGTCAAATATATGCATGTGTGTTCTCAAAAAAAAAAAAAAAACAACTCTGAATTAGAATTACATCTCCTTTTCACTTACCTGTTCTAGAGCCACTGCAGGATAAAACACGTTTGTTAAAATAAATAAAGACACAAAAACAGATGTTGATTATATCTTTTATTTGTAACATTAGAATTCCTAAGCTCACACAGAACTGATTCATAAATATCCTTTAGGTTTATCTTGCATTTCTGTGTTCACCTGCTCATAATCCAACCCTTTATTTAATCACAAATGGAACTAAAGATATGTAACATTTTTTTCTGATGCAGTTAGAAAAGATATTGGAACAGTTTGAAATTAGAAAGCTCTAAAAGTAGTAAATAGCTTGTCAAACTAGAAATGGACTCTTCACTCTACAAGTTATAAAAGTCCTTATTCGCCCATTGAAAACTCCTTATTCAGCATGAACAGAGGGACAGTCTGTAAAAATAGGTTTTGTGTTGATAAATTTTTTAGAATAGGGAAAAAATAATTATTTCTAAAATGCACTTTGTTTGGCTAATTCTAGGAGAGAATTAATCAAGGAGCAAAATGATGAAAGTACAAAGAATAACAGAATTAACCAAAGGACACATAACTCTGATTAGTGATTCTGCCTTTCTACAGATTTTGTGAAAACATGGCCACACTTTTCCTACTATATTACTTTTCTCATGGGTGATACCTCTGGGGTGTGGAAGTGATAAAGTTAGAGATCATAGGAAGTGATGTGCTTCCATCAAAGATCAAAATGTTGGGTTGGCATAAATCACTACAAAAAAGATGACAACAGCTCTATCGAAGTCCCTCAATGATTAGCCAATTAAAGAGGTGATTAAAATAAAGCAAGGTAATCTTATGAGGAATGTCAAGGATAGGAGGAAAAGAAACTCAAGAAGATAAACTAAAATGACAGAAGATAATCCAGGTAAGGATCTAGTATGAGCAAAGACATTCTAAAAATACATAAAAAACAAAAAACAAGTCAGAACTTAGCAAAAAGGGGCCTCCCTGGTGGCCTAGGGGGTAAGTCTCAGTACTATCACATGACAGCCTGAGTTTGATCCCTGGCGAAGGAGCTGACCCACATGGTACAGCAGATCTCTCCTGTCTCACCCATTGCTCCCCTCAGCAGTGTATTTCATATCTGCCTGTTCTGTTCCCCACTCTGTCTCTGGTGAACCCTCTCACTCCCACACTTCTGGCCTACACCTCAATTCTACCAGAAGAAAAAAAAAAGTACTTATCAAAGACTCCAGATACAGTCTGGAGAAAACCTGTGATAATTTCTGATCATGTCTGTTGACATTCACATCCATCATGTACATGGACAGAGGTGCGAAAGCTTGGGGAGTTTTCACATGAGGTTACAGAAGCAAGACTTCCAAAAGCATTCTGCCAATGGGAGAGCTCTAAAGAAAAGAAGACCAAAGGATAGCTTTCAAGTATTTTAATGTATATGCAAATAAATCTCTCATTTTGCTTATGTTTTTACTTATCCTACATGGTCTTCAGGATTTTCTTAATGTGGGACACTAGAAAAGACATGATGGGCCCTCCCAGTGGTGCAAGAGGTTAAAGTGCAGCACTATGAAGCTATCTGCACCCATGGCAGCACGACTTTGATCCTGGCCAGGGAGCTGACCCACATGGTGCAGCAGACCTTGCCTGTCTCCCTTACTGCTCGCCTTAACAGTGTATTTCAATCAATCTGCCTGTTCTGCTCCCCACTCTGTCTCTGGTGAAGCCTCTCGCCGCCCCTGAGCCTCTGGCCTGTACCCCAGTTCTTGTATGCATAAATAAATAAATCTTTAAAAAAAAGAAAGAAAGAAAAGGCATGCTGAAACTCAAAGATAATAGTCTGGCTCAAGTTGAACAGAAGGATTTTAGATGTTGTAAAGTGTTCAGTAGATTCTACTAAAAGACCTTGTAGAATTTCTGTGCTCGAAGATCTTTGACAGAAGCTTAGCTTTTTTACCTGGAATGTTAGTCATAACATTTGGGAGGATAGTAGAAATGGATTAAGCCGTCTCTCAGAGTTGCTTCCATTCATCAGAATGAGAAACACTGCAGAAAGAGAAAATTAACAACCCAAGAAGCAGAAACTGACTCTTGATAATATTTTTAATTTGGGGGTAAAGATCCCCCAAAGGAACTTTTCAGATATTTTACTACTAACCATCCTTCTGCTCAATAATTTTTTTCTCCTCTCTCTACTCCCAAGTAAATTTTTAAACAAATTCATATTTTTACATGCTCTGTGTTCCTTTGAAGGGCCAGAGCCACAATGTAATACCCACCAACCAACTTTTAAGCCTTGGGCAATGTCCCTTACTGTGGATACGCACTCTCTAAAGTAAGCCGCACTGTGAATGGGATGACCGAGGATGGAAGAAAGAGAAGGCATGTATACCTCGGGCCGCAGGGACAGGCAGTCTGGATTCCCACTGGCCAGAATAACCATGGAATACTGGTATATGCTCAGTTTCCATTCCCTCTGTTACAGGTGAAGCGGTGAATCCTGTACCACTGTTTTTCTCATCACAAAGATTGCAAGTTTTTGGAAAGCCTGGACCTCTTTGAGAATATCAAGAAAGGAATGTACACTACAGTGCACACAGCCTCATACTGTATATATCCTGAACTTCAGAGCTTCACAAAGATTATGAACCTTTAAAGGATGGATCAAGTAGATAACAGTTGAACCCCCAATTAGATTTAATATCATTAAAAAAAGAGGACCTCATTTATGTGCTTGCTGGCATGGTATAGGAGGAAAGAAACAACATTGCTTACATAATATTCTTGCTAAAAAGGTTTAATCTAAGTCTAATAATGAGGAAATAATTCCAGGTTGGGAGACGTTCAACACACTGACCAGCAGGAACTCTCTGATAATTTGGTGTTAACTAATACAAACACAACTCTAACCCATTAATTACAGAGAAAGACAACTCAACACAATGTATGATTCTTGACCAAATCCTAGATTAAAAAACATTTTAACGTTTTCCAATGCTTGCAAGATATTTCAAAATGGTTCAGCCATAATGATGCAGATGTATAAAGAGAGAAAACTGTGGAAAATGTTAACAAGTTGCTAATAAAAAATACGTTAACAATTAATAAGCCTAAGTGAAAGGTATGTGGGTATTTATCGTAGTCTTTTGTTTTTGTGATTGTTCCTTTAAATTTTTTCAAAATGAAGAAAAATAGTTAAAAATGAAGGTGGTAAACCCGCCACATTAGGAGGAAGAAGCAGGGTAACAGTCTGGAACCCTAAGAATCAGAGATGTATGAGCAGATGCCAGGAGCTCAGATTCCCCCAATGGCAAGGAAACGTACTTCCTTTGTTTTGGGGTCAAATAGATCAAAATTGCCTGTGATGATTTTCTTTAGAATTTGCCAAACAAAGTACTGTGGAATTAGGAACATTCTGTAATTTAAAAATAAAAGTGGCTTGCCAGACTCCATCCTAGAAGAGTTGATTAGTGCAATTAGCAAAATAACCAGGAAGAATGTGTTCCAAGAAGTCTACAAAATGTTTGGATTTTTGAATTGTGTGGAAAAATTTCTTTTTTCCCCCTCTCCACCCTCCAATTCCCTAGCGGAAATTTCTTATGCACAATCAGCTAATAGAAAATAACCATAAAAAGAATTAATAACAAGTGTCTTCAGGGTGCAGCACACTGCTTGGCTGGGCAGGAGCAGCGCTACCTTTTAAGTGCAAAAAACCCAATGGGGGAGCACTATGGGGCTCCCCCAGGACAACGGACCCCAAGCCATCACTACTCTGTCCCACAGTCAAACTTCTCACATGTACTTACTGCACAGTGCACATGGCTGGTACAGAGATTCTTATTTCTTTGTTCTCTGGGTCCTTAGAATAATCTGGTATCCCCTCAGCCAAAAGGTATAATGAGAAAAACCTCTGCCTAGTTTATCCTCTCAAAGATACATAGAAAGAAGAAGAAGAAAGTTCGCGTGTTATTGACCAGAGCACAACAATCAGGAGAGGTAGCAGCATTCGGATTCCATGAGAAACGTTTATCAGGAGGAAGCAAGGGCCAACCGCTGGGTTAGCTGCAAGCTGGAAGCACAGTGCCCAGACGGTCAGCCTTTCGCAATTTGGAAGAATAAAGATTCCATGCTTCTAGGCTCTTTGGCAGTCACAAGTGGCCTTAACACATTACATATAACAAGACGAAATCAGAGTCATGTAGTTATTCTGTAATTACTATTACATTAAAATGTACTAATACATTCTTAGCTACTTCCCTCCACCAACTGATATTTTGTCAAATTCAAATGATCGCTGGAAGTATTCTCACCCCCTAATCATGGGCTCTGAGGACCACCAATTTTGTGAATGAATCAGAGAAGGCAACATTTCATTAACTAAAGCTCACTTAGGTTTCAAAAGGCAGCAAAGAATGCATTTTTCTGTCTACTGGCATAGAAAAATGGTGAAGGATGGAAGAAGGAAGTTAGCTCTGGCTCTGCTGTTCCCTTGGCAACTACGGCACCATCACAGAGGCAGAAATTAGTTTTGTGCCATAATCTAATATGGCAGAGGAGGAGAGAGTGTGTAGGGAAAGGGAAAAATATCCTCCACAGGTTTGGAAGCTGGGCGGCCAGCTGGGAGGTGACATATCAGTGGGCTGGTGTTTGCGATACAGACACCAAGCAGCCAAATGCTCTTCCACTGAAAGGTGTTTTGCAGACAGCCAGCACTCCTCTCCCATAACAAAGAACAAACACTGCACTAATCTGGCTCAGAGCTTCTGCTGATCATTCTTGGTCATCTGTTTTCTGGAAAACAGGAAAACAATGTCTTGGATGGAAGAGACAGGAATGAGGGTGGTTATACCAACACATTCTGTGCAGGGTGAACTGGTAGCACTTATCCAGCACCCAGTCTCTTCCTGGAGTAAAAGTGTATAGACCCTGTTTGGGGCAGAGACAAGCCACCCCAGGGACTGGTCCCTGATAAAACGGCTTTTAGGGAAATAGTGTTAATGCTGCAGGTTGAAGCCTCAGGCCACTCAGGCTCCACAGCCCCTCACAGGTGAGACCTTAGAGCTGGCCAGGAGCTTTCAGGCACCTGAAAGGAAGGCTTGTTACAGAAAAACCTGGTGCACACCCGAGTTCCAAAATTCACTCGGTGCTTAGAGAACACATCGGGGAAAGTGGGCCAGCTGACAAGCCAGATCAGGACTTGTCTCGAAAGCCAGCTCTGGTAAAGCTCAGGCAGCGGTCTCAGTCAGAACTGCACCCCCCACGCTAAGTGCCCAGGCTGCCCCTGAGGCCGAGGGCCAGGGGGTCCTCCTTTCACTCACACCGGGGTCAGCCAGGCCACAAGTTGGGGCTAGCAGCACTCAGAGGGGAGGAGCACGCGAAGTGAGTGGGGAACGTCTCTCAAGAGTCACTGTCTCCACCTGCTTCTGGAAGGAGGAGCGCCATTTGGGGTTCCCTCCTGCTGAGCTGGGCTGGGGAGTCCAGGAGGAAACAGCAGTCCTCTTTCTTCCGGAGAGTAAGATGGGGCGTTAGTGACACATCCTGCTCGTCATCTCTTTCTGAAAAGCAAGCAGGGGGAAGGACAGTTAGGAGAAACTTTAAGCTACCGGACAATACTTTGGCAGATCCCTAAAGCACCCTGGGGGTCTCTGAGCCTTTAACCAAGGGGGTGCAAGCATGGTCTATGGATAACTTTCAGTAAGTCCATGTGTTTCATTCAGTCTGAAGGAGTTTTAAAAAATACATATTTTATTTATTTTTGCATAGAAGAACTGGGGTGTAGGCCAGAGGTGTGGGTGGTGGGGGTGGGGCGGGGGAAGAGGATTCTCTAGAGACAGAGTGAAACAGAACAGGCAGATCTACTGAAATACACTGCTGAAGGGAGCAGCGGTGAGACAGGAGGGGTCTACTGTGTCATATATGGGTTAGTTCCTTGCCATGGGGGTGACGGCACTGAGACTTAAGCATTAGGCCACCAGGGAGGACCCCGAATTTTTTTTTTAAAGATTAATTACTTATGCATACAGAACTGGGGTATAAGCCAGAGGTGAAGGGGAGGTGAGAGGATTCACCAGAGACAGAGTGGGGAGCAGAACAGGCCGATGGATGAAGTACACTGCTGAGGGGAGCAGCGGGCGGGGCAGGACAGAGGTCTGCAGCGCCATGTGGGTCAGCTCGAGGCCTGGGATCAAACTCACACTGAAGAGGCTGTGGCCAGCTTGCAGTGCAGCATCCTTACCTGTTGCGCCACCAAGAAGGGCCCGGCTTTTGTTTTTGTTAACAAAGCAGTGTTTAAAAAACTTGTACAAAATGCCAAGAAAAGTCCAAATTGCTTGCTTTTTCTCTTAAAATTGCAAGATATGGAGCTACCGGGCAGCTGTAGTTAAAAAATGGATAATATGATGTCCAGTTTGTCACAGCCCCTACCACTCCCTATCTTTCACTAATTAAATCTTTTTATTTATTAAAATTCTCTTATTGACGTGATAGTGCATTATAACATCATAAGTATTTTAGGTGTGCATCATTATAAATCAATGCCTGTGTGTATTACATTTATTTTTAAGTTTTTTTTTATTAATTTATATATCTATTTACATTATTGTTCATTTTAAAATGAACAATGAACACTTCGCCCACCCGTCATCACCACAGTCCCCCACATTCCTTCTTCCTTCCCTCCGTAGATTCCTCTCTGTCCTCCTCCCCTGTAGGATATCTCTGGTTCATAGCTGTCTGTTTGTGTTTGTCTTGTTGTGTTGTGTTTTGTAGTGTAATAACAATACACTTTTTAAAATCAAAGATAAGAAAATGAAGGTTAGCAAAAGTGGGTATTAGTCAAGAAATGGGAGTGGAAAGATTTTAAAATATTGGTTTTCTGATATTTTCTTATTAATGTATATTTTAAAGAAAACACTGATCAGTTTATTTGCATTGAACTCATAAGCAGAGTACATACATGTTCGGGGTATTTTAGTAATGTAGTTTCTGCTGAAAGACCTACTGGTATCTCCTGGCGTCTTTCAGAACACCTCAGGAAAAGGTGCTAAGTGAAAATGAAAGCTGGATGCCTATAGAATTCAAATCCACCTTTCTTAGCAGAAACAGATGGAAGATTGAAATGTAGCTTCCCATGACAACCTTATCAGTGTTTGGGGTCTGCTTATTTCTGGGTACCATGTTCCAGGAAAGCATTGCAACTAAATTCCTTATCATTTTTGCCACAGGCAAAGCAAGGATTGGCCATCTTACCTATTACAGTCTCTGCTTATCCAACTGGAGCGGGCCTGAGAAATATTGATAGAAAGATAAAATGCTAAACTTTCTTCAATAGGAGTTTTTTTTTTTTTTAAGATTTATTTATTTATGCATACAGAACTGGGATACAGGCCAGAGGTGCAGGGACGGTGAGAGGATTCACCACACACAGAGTGGGGAGCAGAACAGGCAGATCAATGAAGCACACTGCTGAGGGGAGCAGCGGGCGGGTCAGGAGAGGCCTGCCACGCCATGTGGTCACCTCCGGGGCAGGTGGGGATCGAACTCATGCGGAAGAGGCTTTAGCTTCTTAGTGCTGTGCTTTAACCCGCTGCACACCAGGGAGGGCCCAGGAGCTTTTTATAGCTTTTCAAACATATTGTCCTAAACTCAGGGTAGGATACTTCCTAATGGAAATGTAGAAAGTCCCAATGTGTCTGGCAGGCAGCCCCCTGGGCTTCTTGTGCACCCACATTATCTGTCTCGCTTTTGCCCAGCTGTGCCACCCTTTCTCGTCCCCTGGGCTGCACAGGCTGAGCACACCCCACCCTCTGCTTGGCTAATTGCTATTCATCACCCCAGCACAGGTGGGATAACTTTCACACACCCTCTTTCTGTGCGCACCTGGAGTCTTGTAGGCAATGAGCTGGTTTGCACATCTGGCTGTGTGCATGGCCTAAGGGCATGTCTGTCAGTCCTGCTAGACTGCGAGCTACTGAGTGTCAGGAACAAAATAATACTTGCTCAGTCACTATGTCTGCTTTCATCTCGGATCCCCCACCCCTGGCACTGTGCCTGGCCGGGACAGCAGCTCCTCTTTCATCTCTAAGAGTGGCCGGGATAGCAGGCTGGTAACCAACCCTCCCCATGCAGCATCTGAGAGGATTTAATGTCATTTGAATTAGATGGATGAGCTGCTTCCAAGGTCCACCCGCTGTAGAGCTGATTCCAGCTGCTACTTCTCTCACATGCTGACCCTGGATTTCCCCAGCCTATGCAACAGGCTATGTGTGAGTAAAAGAAGCATGAGAAGGGAGTGCCCAGATGCTCTGAATATCTATTAGGAACCAAACTGTGCTGGTTAAAGAAAGGACAGAACATACATGGCAGAGCCTAGGCACTTTCACAACCTAGAGTAATATTAAATACAGACCACACTACACACAGATGTGTTGAAAAACTAAATGACCACTTATAGTCATGTGTCACTTAACAACAGGATACATTTTTTATTTTTATTTTACAAAAGTTTATTTTGACATCATTTTGTACATTTTTTTTTTTACATCTCAATTGTAATCCCCGCGGGTTTCCCATCACCAAGTCACCCGTGTGCCATCACCATAATCCTGTGCACTTCCCTCCCCCCCCTTCTTGATCCCATTCCCCACTCCACCCCCGCAAAATGTCTCTGGTATATGGTTGTTCATTATTTTTGTTATTTTCTCGCCTGGTCCATTATACTCCTGCTATGAGTGAAACCATCTGGTATTTTTCTTTCTCTTTCAACAACAGGATACATTTTGACAAATGTGTGCAGCAAGACTGGTCATCAGAGTTCTGCCTATCTAACACACATCTTTTTTGAATTTCCTTTACTCTTGTTCCTTTCAATGAAGCAGATACTTGTCATTTAATAGTATCAGTCAGGAGGAAATCAGTAGTTTAATGGACTGACGAGATGGGGAATAACTTATCAAAGTCACATAGAAAAAGGGTTAGAGTTCACACTCACGTCTGTCCGAGTGCGAAGACCTGCTTTTTCCACTGCTCCATGTAACTGGGGCTTAAAGCCTTTGAGACATTCTCATCACTATACTTGTACATAACACTGTTGATGGTTACAGTCATACCTTTTTTAAATAAAATCTCATTGGTCTACTATTGGTCCATCATACTGTACAAATTTCAGGAACACAGCTTCATAACTCAGTATGTGTGTCAGCCTTACCGCACCCACCACCTAAGTTCTATTGCCACCCCACTATCAGACTGACTACATCTGCTCTTTACCCCCATCTTCTCCCTGCCCCCACCCCAGTTATCAGCACACTTTTCAGAGTCTGAGTTATTTTTATTGTGATTTGTTAGTTCATTTGTTTTGGATATTTATATTCCACAAATAAGCACTAGAAACCAGAAATCCAGTCATGGTCTTTCACTTTCGCACTTGTTTCTTCTTAGAATAATCACCTCAAGTTCAATCTATGTTAATGCTAAAAGCAAAGTTTCATTTTTTCTTTAAATAGCTGAGCAGTATTAGATTTAGTATACAGCATTAATTCATTCATTGGTTTGTATTTTATATTATATATTAATTGACATATAGATGTTGCAGTCATTTTTCTATTTACTCATATTCATGACAATTTGAATTATAAGTAAAATGGATAAACACTAAAACAGTCATGTGACTAAAAGACTGTGGACACTAAAAATATGGAAGCGTTAAAGCAAACACTTGTTTTTGAGAGAACAGTTTAAGAGAGAATAAGGAACTTTTCCAAAGTCACTGAGTTAGTCTATGAGAAGCCACGACTAGTGCTTTCCTCACCTTATTCTGCAGCCACAAAATCCAGGAGAAAAATCTGCTGACTGGGCTGCTCTTAATAATCACATAGGGAAAGAATTGGTTGAAATAGATCTGAAACGTGAAGTTCATGACCCTTGAAAAGCCTCTAGATCTTCAAACTGTATTCTAACATTTTAACACTAGGTGGCGCCAATGAGCTGTTGAAACCAACAGTTTTCGACAGGAAAAAAAAAAAAATTAAACAAACAGGCGCTACTGGATTCTATGGCTTTCCTCCTTATCAGAATGCTCCTTGGTCCTGTAGCTGAGCCAAGCACATTACTTGTTTCAAAGAGAGTGGCCTAAACAGCTTGTACTCACATAGTCCTTTAAGGATTAATTGGTCTTTGCTGCGGCCATCTGAATGCAATATGAGTTCAGTCAGGTCACCAAAGAGCTCCACATGGTGCTTGCGCAGAGATGATGAGAATATGCTGAGCAAAGTTCATAAAGACTATATTTGCCTTATATATAAAGCTTCTTTGGAACACTTGGATTTTAAAGACCCGTTTTTAAGAATAAGGCTGAGTTTGGTTGTGTTCTCTCAGTAGCATTTGCGCCAATGTAAGGGGTAATTGGTTTTGTCAAGTCCCTGGCTCCTCACAGTCAACAGAATGAATTTTATACTCCACAACCTGGCAAACAAAGCTGCTCACCTCCTGTTGAACACCCACCCGCTCATCACACTTGCCAGGCAAACCTGAGGCTGCCCTGGTCTCCAACAGGCCT